GCACCATATTTGTCTAATGCTTTCTTGGAAGCTTCTATAACTTCAGGATGGCTCTGAAATTTTGATAGTATCCTATTATATTTCTCATCCATGATGTTCTCACTTACAGTGGCCCATAATCATACGGCATATACCGGTACACATATCAGGTGTGGCATATAAAACAGAATTGGTTTATCTCCTCTGATCATTGACAAATTCACACACAATATGTTTAATGTACACACAGACAATACATTAACCATAATGTAGTGGAGGTGAGAGTAAAAAATCCTTAAAGGACGCACCAACTTTGCAGTATAACATCACATGAAGGAAGTCTTCCCTATTTATTATTGAAAAATGAAATGTTATCTCATTTATACATCCTTCACTAAGACAAAGTGAAGAATGTTGATGCATTGAATCCAGGGTCCATAACATCAAGAGCCAAATGATTTCCAAGACTTTTCCAGACCTTTTGCCTAACTTTCTTGCATTTTTTCAAGACATTTTGACCCTTAATTCAGACCAACATGGAAGAAGGGCAGGCGCGGGTATTGCAATAATCACTCAGGCTGCCAACACTTGTCGGAACTGGGGTAGAAACACTTTATAAAAAAAAGACTCTATGCAGAGAAAACTAGCCTTTCTAAAATTACCGGTAATAACTATGAAGAAATTTAAAGACTTTTCAAAAGATTTTTTTATTTTTCCTGTAATTTAAAGACAACTCAAAGACTTTCCAGATCTCAAAAAATCTAAAGGCTTTCAAAGCATTTTCCCAACACTACAAACCCTGGAACCTGATCTGTGCATTTTATTTCATACAAAAACTGCACCACTGGTTAATAATCATTGTTATACTTACAGACAATCCTAAATAATTGTTAGCACAGAAATTGAGAATTTTCTTCTTAGAACCAAGCACTTGTATGGCAGCTGCCTGTTTTGTTGTGATAACCCGCTCTGCTTTCCATGTGCCAGCAGCTTTTATGGATGATAAGGTTTCACCAAGAATTTCATTCATGATGTCAACAGCAGGTTTTGCTGCATAACATCGAATCAATCCTACTCTACATGGATCGCTTACAATCCTGCATCTCAGCAGATTTCCTTCAAAAAACACAAAAAAGTTTAGTATGCTGAATGTATTTGCAATAACACCAAGACAAGATACATCTGCAATGTTTAACATTTATAAAGGCAGAAGGATTGTCCCCACTATAATACACACATTGAGTCCAAATAGATAATAACAATTTATGCATACTAAAAATGAAAAGGTTCATGGGAAGGCACTTATTTATAAACAACACACTATGTTTGTCTTTGGCATGACAATTCACTGACTCTAAATAATGCTTTCGAATATATACATTTCTTTTGATTTAATAGACAAAACATTTTCCAAAACAACAAACTAT